CCAACATCCCTGCCGAAATGTGCACAAACCTTGTCACCAACTATAAAAACCGTTTGACATCTGTGCTGGCCAATAATGGCTTTTCTACAAAATATTAACATGCTGTTTGTCCAGGGGGTCAAATACTTGTTTTTCCTCATCAGATGGTTATCAATTTTTATAAATTCATATGATGTGATTTTCTGGAATTTTCTTTGGGATTCTGTCTTTCACTGTTAGAATGTACATATGATTAAAATTGTAGATTGTTGCATTCTTTGTAAGTGGGCAAACCTGCAAAATCAGCAAGGGGTCAAATACTTTTTTCCCCCCACTGTAGTAACCACTATCCATGAGCAAAATTTATAAATGAACATCAGATTTGATTGGATTATAATGAAACACTATAGGTAATGCGTGCTTTTTGGGGGGAGTGTAAGGGAGAGACAATAAAGTCTGTTTATTTAATAAACTGGATAAAGCCATCAAGTTCTTAAAATAACTTCAGTACAGAGAAAGAAACACAAACATAAAATCGCAACAGTTTGGAAGGTTATTAAAACATTTCCAGCCGTCAACAGCTGCAGATCAGCTGGCAGCACTCATGTCTGTGTCCGCCTGACCGTCAGAGGGATGTGACTTTTAACAAGTTTTATTACCTGTTTTAATCAGCTGTTGTTATGGAGAAGAGGAGACTGACTTCGGCTCCATGTAGAAACCTCATGACTGATGAAAACTTAAAAACAACAACTCCGGACCCAGTATTTAGCGTAACTCCATCAGCTGTCCGCTGCACGCTGGTTGGTATTTCCGAGCAATAAATTTAATGCTGACGTACAATCTCAGGCGGACATCGCCGAGATTTGTGTGGCTATTTGACTGTTGATTGTGATTTATTAGTTTGCAAACAGTGGAAAAGAGGAGCAGTTGTAGAAAAACAGCCGACATGCTCGATTTAAAGCCAATAAAATCTACTCGGCCATTCAGAAATTCACTGCAAGACAAACCCCGACCCCCCAAAGTACATGTACTTTCGGAAAGTACTACCCCAGAGCAGGGACTTTTTGGGGGGTAAAATAAAGACCCTAGAACTGAATTTAGACCCTGGTCCCTTCAGTGGAAATGCAGTGAGATCCTCCAAAAAGGTTCCTACTTCCGGGGTATAGTTCCTTTGGTCGAAATGCTGCTATAGTAATGGAGGGTGGGAGGAAAAAAATGCAGATGCAGATGTGGGGTTGTCATGAAGTGAGCAGGCTGGAGTTACACAAGTGTAAAAGAGAGAAAAATGAGTGGGGAAAGGAGTGTGAGAGAAGTGACAAACACAGGCAGATGTGTCAAGAAAGAGTGAGGAGCAACAGTACAGGTAAAAAAAAATATAATAGTCCTCTAAAGAGCCTCAATGACATAAGGCAAGTTTATTTGTATAGCACATTCCAACAACAAGTTAATTCAAAGTGCTTTACATAAAACATAAAAGCAACAGGGAAATATTAAAAAGTTTCTAAAAGTTAAACTATAAAACAGGCAGGTCTCCCACCTTTGCTTATTTTACTCCTTTGATTCCCCATCTCCCAATCTATCCCCCATTTAGTTACTTAGGAACTCTAACCCTAAGGGGACTCAAATGCTGCTGGGCAGCTGATTTAACACTGTACATGCATACACACCTATTTATAGATCTTTGAACTGTTGTTGTTATTATGTTAAATAATTATAATTTTTTGTGACTCTTTGTAGCAGAGCAAAGCAGTGATCTGCAACTTCAGTAATTCACAAATCCAAAGTCCACAATTTGCAAACCCTTCATGATGCTACCTGGATGTAAGACCAATTCAACAATTAACACTGCTAATCAAACCAGCAAATTGTTTCATGTACGACATGATGTTTGAATAGTGTTACCAAAGTTGTATTAACGTCTATTAGTGCATCAGACAACATGCATACCAATTAAAATTAATAGAATTAGCTAGAAGACATGAAAGCTCTGTAGCACAGCATGGACAGACAAAATGAACTCTTGGTCCCAATACCATCTGTTGGTGTGAAATAATACAATTCATCCAATATGCCTAATATTTTGTTTTCCTTACTCTCCAACTTCACTTCAACTAAACATCATCAAATAAAAAGAAATCTAATTAATGCATCCCAGTGAAATTGTAAAAAACTCAAACATAAATAATAAATTCTGTATTTAAGATATGTTAAGCCATTAAGCCTTCACTGAAAGCCTGTATGAATAGCTTAATTAAAAACATCAAAATAATGATATGAATCTGTATAGGGAGGGGAAATCTGCCTCAATCTGCTTTCCAAATGCTAACCCCTGTAAGCCAGCCTCTTTGCTGAATCAGATGCTTGAAGAGATTACTTTAAAGCAATGATAAACCAAAAACTTGACATAAACTAACAACCAAGTCATTCTAAGATTACTTTTATAACCCGTGTCAGGACTTGAGAAAAAAGTAGCCCCAACTATAACCATAAACTTTTGCTGCATCCAGCAGAGAGAATTGTGATAATGCCTCTTAAATGATGGCTTGCAATCTAGCAATCCTCAAAAGACTAAGAAACTCTTTTGAGGTAAGGTGAAATATTGTTTTTTTTTTTTTTCCTCCCAATGCCTCTACCCGGCTCATTCTTTTGAAACCAGTAGAAAAGACCTGTGCTCAGAGACTAGCTTCAGGGGGCTGGAGCCAAAATTAAACCGGTCCCGTCTCCTTCGCTCTATCACTGTTAGGAGCAGACAGGAAGCAACCGTGTAGCAAACCCATCTACATTTGTATAGTCACACATACGTGCGCGCACACACACACACACACACACACACACACACAGTTAACTGGCACTCTGGCACTGAGGGTGTGAGCCCCTCCACCCTCCTTCTATGGGCTGGTTGCCAAAGATGCCCCCCCCCCCATCCAAAAACACCACACACACACACACACACACACACACATCCCTGGCTTAGCCTCGGCCCAGTGCTGGGATTACCGGATTAGAACTCTATTCCATTATCTCCCCACACTATACAACACGCACGCACACACGCACGCGCACACACGCACGCGCGCGCACACACACACACAGTCTTGGCCAGAAAGGACAGGCTCCCAGCATCAATCAAAAACACATGACATTTGCAAATCTGACATTTGTAAATAACTTATTTACAGTATTATTTGGCAGAATGGTGGAGTGTTTATTAATAGGACTCCTTCTGCAAGAGACCTGGACCAAGCACCTGTGACAGCAAGTAACCAACCAGCTGAAGTGTCCTTGAGCAAGACACTGAATCTCTACAAACTCCAGAAAGGCTGTTTCATAGTAGACCCCGACTTCTGAACTCAGACAGCAGAAGAAGTGTTTGAAGAACGTGTTCTCCTTCAAACACTCAAAAGGCATCAAATAATTCTGCAAGGATGCACAGAACATTAAAGGGCACAATCATATTTACATGAGCTGCTAATGACAGGGGGATGAATTCGACAACTACAGTGCCACTTTTTGCTCCAACAACAAAAAAGTAAATTTGCAACACTGACAGTTTCTTCTCCATAGCAACGTTACCCAAGGATCATGGGTATTACTGTTTTTAGGGCTGTCCGCCATGCCAAACTGATGAACAAAGTATAATTTACCAGAAACAAAGTTGAAAGAATTAAATCTGTAGTCCACAATATACACTTACAAGATTGTTACATTATCCAGGAGAGTCCTATGATTCTATGAAAAGTAATGTTGAAGACATCATTAAAAGTATAATTTGAAATGGGACTACACTGGAGAAAAACACCCATGGTTCCTCCCATTTCGCAACTCTATTTAAGAACAGTCATATTACCTTTCTAAACCTGCACCTTTAAGTGCTTGTCAGGTGCAATGATGCACCATAAACGGCTCCCTTATAGTTGTTTGTCTGGTCAGGCAACAAGTTCTGCTATTTTTTGAGGCTTGACAGCGTCATCACATTCTACTCTGTGATGATGTCTTAGGCAGTTGGATAAAGTTGTGGCTATGCTGTGAAACAGACTGCTTGCAAAAGTAGCCGTATGTCCTTTTCAGCGTCATTTCCATCTTTAAATCACCAAAACTTCCATATAACAGAATGTAACCCTGATGGTAAAGGCGCAACAAGTTCAGTAGAAGGGTTGGATACATTTATTTTCTCTTCCTTAATTTGGACTCATTTTGTTCTATGTTTTTACTTTCACTTTAATTCCATCTCTCATTTGTTTTCAAGCATTTAGTTGATTAATTGTTTTTAAAAGTTATTTTAAATATGCCAAACATTCAATAGTTTGACCAAAAACTAAAGTAGCAGTTAAAGTCAGCTCAAAATTTACAGACACAAAAGGAATTTGAGGACATCACCTTGAGTGTGATAAATGGCCATTTTCTCTATTTTCTTACAATTTATACACCAAACACTGAATCTACTAATCAAAAAAAGTAATCTGTAGAATGACTGGTCACAGCCCTACTCCCTGCTAACACAAATGCGTGGTATGAACTGAAATGTTATTAATTTGTGAAGTCAAATCAGTTTATAGTCAGCTGGTACTTCTAGGCGAGTCTGATCCACAGTGAATAGTAATTAATCATTTATCGCTTTTATCCAAAGCGACTTACAATTGCTAAATATGTCAGAGGTCGCACGCCTCTGGAGCAACCAGGGCTTAAGTGTCTTGCTCAGGGACACATTGGTAGATGTGTCACAGTGGGAATCGAAACCCAGGTCTCCCACACCAAAGGCATGCGTCTTAGTCACTGCACCATTGCCTCCCACCAGTGCAGATAACGATTATATTCCTTGTCCAAATGTCCTTTGGGTGCACATTTTCCTCTACCTGCTCCTGTGGGTGCCACTTCAAGATTCTCCTTACATACTTGACCTAACTATTAAAATATATATAGTCTTCACATGTGTGTCTCGAGCAGACGCATAAAGAAATAAATGCCTCATTCCACAGTGAGTGCAGAGTGATGTGCGATTGCAGAGCCCATCTGTCACTTACGTAGTCATGGAAGGCCTTCGCCTCACTGGAGTGCTCGCATGTCTCCCTCCGGTCTGGAGCCGCACAATACAAATCCCAGAATACACTGAAATGGTTGCAGAGGAGGGGGGGGGGGAGAGGTCAAAGGTTATTAAACAGAGCAATACAAGCAAATGTATAACAAGCTATTCAAAACTCATTCACACACTCTCACTATCTCCCTGTCGCTCTTAAACTGCCTCTCATACACTTGAGCATCAGTGTAAGAGGGACACAATGCCAGAGTCGCACACCCTCAATCAACCGCTCACTCACTCAGAAAACACACACTTGGATTTCCATACTTGAATGGACCTTTCATTCACTGCATCCATTTCCTCACCCTAAACTTTAACTGTTACACTGACTAAACCATATGAATACAATGGAAGGCTAAACTCAATTCCTCAAAATGCCCTCTTGTACATGTGAACAAATGGCCTCATTGAGAGGGAGTTTCTTCAGCATTTGATCTTAAACAAGAGCTGACACACACACAAACACATAAACTGTTTCCATACTAGAGTCTGTTTCAATCTATTTGAACACGCAAGTGGAAGCGCCCAACAACAATGCTAACTACTCGCGTGCTACCTGTCTTAAGAGGTCTTAATTGAATCCGTCTTTGTGCATTGATTTAGTGGAGGTGCTATAAACAGAGTGAAACAGCGACGTGGCTAACGAGAGGACTAATCAGGCAGCCACTTCACATGTCCTGCTAATTTGTGACACACACAAGGCATGCTGAATCCCAAACATCTGGATGTTTTCATACACCCCTGCTCTTTGTAAAAGACGCGGTTGTATTTGCGAGGCTCAGTACATTTTCATAATAGAATCAGCAGTTTGAGCACATTAATAAGAAGTTATGGATTATTGTGATCTGAAAAGTTGACTTTTTACTTCCGTGAAAAAGACAGAGTGCATGGTTGAGCTACAAAATGAGCCAACATGGTAAAAGGATGTCAGAGTGTTGCTTAAGGAAACAACATGGAGAAATGCTTAGAGGGTACTAAACTTACACCTTTCTCATTTTTCTCAACAAGCCTAAGCAAGGAGAGGAAACGAAAGGACCCACATCTAGATTTAAGTCCTTCAATGAATATATTTTCAAACTTATTCTTTAGTTTTACCCAGGTCTGTATGCTTTCATATTATTATTCTGTTCCCTCATTTTCTTTTTATTAAAACATGCTCTTGGTTTCATATTGCTGATGGTGCTCTAAAAGCCTGATGCTCATTCTTCTGACTCAGCAGAACTACCCCCCTGAGGTGAAAAGTTACACTAGATATTGTACTTTTTTAAAGAGGATTTAAGGGGATATTTACAAGTCTGTAATTGTACATCCAGAGGTTTTTTAAATATTAGCTCCTTTGTACAGTACTCATTTCAGTACAGTATAATTCAGTGTATTCTGAATCTAGCGGCACAGCTTTAGTAGGAAGGAGCAAATGAAAAGACTTAACCTTCAAGAGAGATAAAAAATAAAATAAAAAAATCACATTACAAAACCATCAATCATTTTCTCTGATAAAAGGTTAAAGACTTGTGAGGACCATGTGATCCACACACACAGGGCTAACCTCCTGTGAAAACAAGTGGAGGACTTTGGAAGTGAAGACAATCGATATGGGCCTTAAAATATTGCCACATTTAAAAAAAAAATATATAAAACAGATTAATTAGTGCCAGCCCTATTTGACACACTGATCTCATCACAGAAAACTGATTGGTGCAACGGGGCATGTCATTTTAGAACCAGGGATGGATACACAATACACCGGCACCGCCCGCACAACCCACGCCACACAAGATTACTGAACAATATTTATAACAATAACTTTCGAGAAAGAGATGTAAAATAGAACGGGGGGGGGGCAGCTAGAAGGAGCACATATTGGCACACTGGCAACCTGGCTCTGGCTCAGTCTACATTTGTACCACATTACGGTAGGTTGTAGTCTTTTTAGGGCACACGGTGCTCCTAAAGAATTTTTTCGACTTCGCACATATCTAGTTTAAGTGTCATATGCGAATGAAATGGATGCACTGTAGAGCCCTAGCACACACAATAAAACATAATTTATTCAAGTTCAAATGTAATGGGGTTTAGCTCTCAAGACATGAGCAGCGAGCTTATTCTAATAATGATCCAAGTATTGTCTGTCACTATTTTTCACAAACTATTAAAACACAAAAATGAGTCACATTGTTGTACTGGATGACTCTCTCTCTGATCACACACACACACACACACACCTTTTTTGTACCAAAAAGTAAATATTTATGACCCGTTCTGTAAGATTTACATCTTCGGTAAGAATGAGATGAGCTTGGAGTGCTACAGAGACTGTAGGCAAGTTGAAAAGTATTGACGGGGGGATAACGCATTGTTGGTTTTGGTCTTTTCGTTGTTGACAGTATTAAAAACACAGAATATCGCCAGCCCTTTCCTGTATATAACTGTTAAATTTGTGAGACAACATTTGTAATATCAGGTGTAAAACAGCAACCATCTTAGTTGAGTAAGACACATCGGTAGCCTTCCCTTTTCTGGTCAGTTTATGCTGAACTCTGTTCACCGAGGGAATCTTTTAAGAGAAGTCCAGGAGGGCTTGATTCAAGCCTCAATCTCAACTATGGTCAGACAGGCAGGGACTGGATCCTACTCAGTTCAAGCTTTATCATGATCTGCTAAAGGTTAAGGATTTAGTATATTTACATTAGAAACACAAAATATTCCTCAGCAATGGTCATTCTGTGCATTTACATCAATTGGCTTCTCATCATATATGACTAATATGCTTAAAATATGTCAGTCTGGGTTTAAAAATGTTGTAGGTAGGTTAGAAATCTGATTATTGACCAGCTGCAGCAAACTTGGGTTTTAGAGTAAAACATATACAGTATTATAGTGCCTGTAAACATACTGTGTAATTTCCTGCCTCATCAAGATTACTCCCAAAAAACAACAACAAACAAGTGAAGCTGCAGATCATTGCTTAAAGCGATGACCCTAAAGGTCAAATCTTATCCAGGGCAGAAATGACAGGAGGGGGGAAGGAGGAAAAAGACAGCGGAGGGAGAGGTGGCACAAAGGAAGATGGAATGCAACGGGTTAATCTGCTAAGAATCCCTCTCCCACATGAACAAAGGAGAAAAGTGGGAGGTGGGGGGCACACAAGGGTGACGAGGGGGAGGGGAGTACGGGGGGGGGGGGCATTCCCTAACCATCTGCATCTATTGTTTCAGGAACGGGGGTGAAAGATGGACAACTGGGGAGGGACGCCCTCGGCGAGTCTGGTCAACCCCAAGGCTGAGACTCTGCTTGACCTCCCACCTATGGAAGTCATCTTTAATCATGAATGAGGACAAGCAACGTCAATTAAATTAAAATTTGGTATTTTTCAAGTACATGAATATCTGAATCTTTACATAAAATCTGAGTTTAAAGCTAGGCAATTTATTTCAGAAGCATTTTTTGTTGTATTTGTTGAAATTCTCTTTACATCCTGACTGAAGTCAGTAGTGACACTCACCACCACCATGAATGGAGGAATCCAGGGGGCTCCCCTAATGTAATATTCTTCTCCCATCGAATCTGGAGGAGAGGAGAGGAGAGAGAAAAGTCACTTGCAGCCACTAGAGAGAGGATTATGTCTACGGGTCCAGGGGTTAAGAACATATAATCAGTCAGTCTCAAACTGTCAATGGCCTTCGATGGGAAGATAGGCATCTTTCTGGCTCTGTCGATCTTCATCTTTCTGACTGTCTTCCTCCTGTTATGTCTCTGTCGCGTTTCCCTCACTTACATGTGAAATGTGTTTTTGGATCAAGGGAAGTAGCTCAATCATATACTCATTTTCTCATTCATTCATTCACTGTCCGTGTTGCCTGCAACGGCAATGTTTTTACACTAAGATTCACCATGGCAGACAGTGACCTTGATCTGTAATAGGATTTATTTTGGAAAACGCCTTACACTACTGTAACCATGTTCAGCATGTTTGCGCTGACAATATAAGTTGTTGTAAACATTCACTGTAGTTAGGTTATAGCATGTTTTAATAAAGCTGTTTTAGTCATGGCAAGTGATGTGTGTTTGACTTCTTTGCTGGAGACTTTTCATCAATACTTTCAACCTTTTCCTGAGCTCCAGATAAGCAATTTTCCAAAAACAGGCCTAAAGATTTGGCTCAGTACCAGTATAAACTGGTTAGAGTCATGGATGTCATCTTACCTCAGACAGGAAGGTCTGTGCGGACTTCTGTGCTCCCACATGTAGCAGGTACTCGTACACGTATAACGCTAATCTGAAATGCAAAAGAAAGACATTGTTAGTGACCAAATTTAGCTTCCATTACCAATTTAGTGTCAGACCCTTTTTTCCCCACTTAATGCTCCGTATTTTGAAACTAAGATTAGATTTGGCCGTCCCACTTCATTTTCAAGCAAACGCACACAAAAAGCAGCAATTTTCAACCAAATAGTCCAAGAAACTAGAGGCCCCTTGTGCTAATAATCAAGAACTATTTCAAGGACTAAGTTATTTTGATGCATTCATGTTTGCATTTTTATCCACATCTGAAAAAAAACTGAGATTAGGTATTAACCGACCAACAATGAATAAAAAAAGTGGCATCAAGGTTTTGCTCGAAATGACAAGAGAGTCATGCTGTTCTTTAAAATTTACTGTTGTGTGACTATGACGTATGAAGTGGATGCTGGAAAAAAGACATGCAAGGGTGGCACGATCAACTGAAAACAGCAGAGAAGTCAAGATTCAGTCTAATTCCAAAGTACAGAGGATGAGTGAGAATTTTCTGGCTCTTCAGGATAACTATTAAACCAATCAGCAAATCGAGGGAAAGGTTACACTTTGTTCTTCTTGTTTGTTAACTTTTAAATCAGTGAAAACAGAAGTTGGCTACCTGACTATTATTTAAACATCAACGGCATTAAAGAACTTCCCACTCCCAGTCCTACTAATATTACTAGACACAACCTCCATTTGCTTACAGTATGAGTGAATGCTGTACACAAACCGTTGTAGTCTCAAGGCTTGTGTTTGACCAGTCAGCAACACTGAGTACCTTTACCTTCACTTTGGCTTCGTTTTACACCTGGCATTAACATCTGATCACAAGTAAAGGTGGAAATGCACCCAAGACGAGATCCAATTACACAGATCATACTCGAAAGGTGGTCTGGGCCGCATATGGCCATATTGTTTTGGCAGTGTCATATCTACATTGTATCTAGATACGATTTTAAACTAATTACATTTACACCTGGTGTAAATGTGTGTCTCCAGTGTCCACATTTCACTCTGTCCAACTCAAACATATGTTCAGTTCACTGTTCACCAAAAACATGAGCATGTTTAATGAATGGCGCCCTTTATCCACATTCTTACATTGTATTACAATGCGTCCCTGACCGCCTCCTGAGGTAGTTTGGCTGATCAGATCACAATCTGTCCTCAGCGCATAGTGGGTGCATTTACACGTGTACTTTCACGTTATCAAGCACTATCTGCAATCCGATCAACATAAACACATTTTAATGCCAGGTGGAGGGATCAATCAAGGACCGTCCACTCAACTGAATTCCGCTCTGAATAAGTGGAAGTATGTACTCATTTGCACATAACAAGAAGATGCCACAACTAGGGCTGTCGCAATAACCGCAAAATTGAAAAACCGCGCTATTGGTCAAGCCTATCGCGGAGGTTGGCAAGCACCGCAACAAACGCAATGTTCATTGTACTGTACACTTCAGGGCTTGTTAAATTAATAAATGAGTGCTTCAAAAGTTCCACAACTGTAACAAGCTCTGTAACGGTTCAAGGATGGATCGCCATGGGCTGTACATGACCCCAAGTGTTGCCATGTATTGTTGTTTTACTGTTTATTTTAAAGGTTAGCTAACTTGGCGTTAGCATATTGTGCAGCTAATGTGGCTAGCACGCACGGCAATGTTGGACTAACGTTGTGATCCTGAGGGACAGTCCAGAGAAACTGTGGACAGTAAGCGGTGTGGATAATGATATAGCTACGTCTGAAAAAGACACGGTCAAACTACAAAAAGGAGTTTGCGTGGCAATGTTGTTTACTAGCATGCAGCAGCTAGCTTGCTCGGACCATAAAGCTGCCGTTAGTGGCTCGCTGTGCAGTTAGGTGACAGATACAGACACTCTTAATAGCTGACAAATTACTTCACTGATGAAAAATGTGAGAATACAGCGCTGTTGAGCCCCAACATATACAACAACAGTCATGTCATCTCAGCAGCACTTCTGTGGGTTGCATAGTTTTTCCATGCCTGCCTATGTCCACAAATCACAACACAAGCTGAATAACACCCTCTGAACTGTATGAAAAATACTGTCTGACTGAACACACCAGATACAGACAGAAATAGCTGCATCCAGGCATTCCCATATCCCATGAATGGCAGGACCCAAGGTTTCCCCACAGAACATTGCCTAAAGCATCACACTGCCTCCACCAACTTGTTCCCATATTGCATCCGGTTGCCAAGTGCATCAGACCAGGCCACTGTCTTCCATTGCTCCGGGGCCCAGTTCTGAAGCTCATGTTCCCATTATAGGCGCATTCGGCAGTGGACAGGGGTCAGGAGCAACGACGACGTGTGTTCTGACTCCTTTCTATCAGCTCCCCACATGCATCAATGAACCATTACGCTGTCACCGGTTCACCGCTTTTCCTTCCTTGGACTGCTTTTGCTAGGTACACAAGAGCTGCAGTTTTAGAGATGCTCTGACCCAGTCATTTAACCATCACAATCGGCCCTTGTCAAAAGTCGCTTAAATCCTTACGATTGCCCATTTTTCCTGCTTCTAACACATCAACTTTGAGGACAAAATGTTCACTTACTGCCCAATATATCCCGCCCACTGACAAGTGCCATGGTAACGAGATAATCAGTGTTATTCACTTCACCTGTCAGTGGTCATAATGTTGTGGCTGATCAGTGTACATATACATTCTCAGGCCAGCCACACTTGATAACGGCAATCCACCAGGGTCTATTAACACACAAGAACCATGCTGCGGAGTGGGAAACCCCCATTGGCCCAACGTTGTACTCCAAACGCCTTCACTTAGTCGTGTTTAATAGGCTGTTAATGGACCATCAATCGACCGCGGCGTGGATATGACAGTGCCCCGTGTGCCCACAGCAGACAGTCCTCTGACAGGCCAATAAGGTCCTAATGAGAAGGACAGTAACTCAGTGTCATAGTCCCCACCGTTAGTCAATGAACTGATCAATGAAACATTGTTTTGAGTTAGGGCTGGACAATGAAACAATAACAATTGTCGCAATATAATTTTTTAACAAATGTTCAATAAATGTTTGATTTATTTCATACATGAATTAGGATTTTTTTTAATTAAGATGTTTATTTTGTCGAGGAAAAATAATTTTACTCATGCATATTTGTTGACAAAGATTGTATTCCCCAATTCTTTTGAATGTTCTACGTCAGATTTGTGAAGTGATCCACTGTTTGGCATTAAGTGTTGACCATAAAGAAGAGTTTAAATCACAAATAACCATCAGGTTTCTTCAAATTCCACTCAGGAGAAAAATACTGCCTTTAAACTCGAAAGAAATAACGATTTGATACACATCGTAAGAAATAAAACTATCATATCATTTTTGGCCATATCATCAAGCCCTATTTTGAGATAATAAGGCTGTTGTCCAGTTTGTTTTTAACCACTAACAGGAAATTCACATTTCCAATGCCGTCTTCCCTTGCACTATTGCTGGATGGTGGGATGAGGGTGATGTATATTTAAGCACATTTAGTGCATTTAAGCCTCTCCAGAAGATAAACAGTTTGACAATAAAATGTTTTGAAGCTGATAAGCCCTCACTATCATTGTGCACTAAAACTGCCAGTGCAGAAAGCATCTATACAATTCTGCATCACCAGGTTAGGAAGATGTTCAGCAACAGGGTGAAACCTCAGGATACATCTATAGAGATTGTTACAACGCTCTTTCATAAAAAAAAAAAAAAAAAAAAAACTTTGGTCAGATCGCTTGGGAGTGAATATGGGGAACACTTTACAAAACAGAACTCAAACTGGATCAAACGACCGGCCAAATAATTAATACATTTTATATATATATATATATATATATATATATATATATATATATATATATATATATTTTTTTTTTTATATTTTATATTTTTTTTTTATTAGTCAGTCATTTTTCCAGCAAATGCTCCAAAAGCTTGATGACTCAAGGTTCACTAATGTGAGAAATGTCTTGCAACTTAAGTATTGTGTTATGATGGAGATGGGCTCTGCGCCGGACCTGTTCTTACTACTAATGTTATGCAAATGTTTAAAACATGCATTGTTAGTATGCAAATGTAGTCGGTAAAAGATATGAATAGGCAAATAGACAATAATAGATTGGAGCTGATGGTTGCTACATGATCACACCTTGTCTTTCACATAGACAGCGCAGTCAGGGGGCATTTTCTTAATATCATCATGGCAGCTGGCAGATATAAATGCGTGCAACTTGAGCATTTTATGATTAAAATGTGTTTTAAGCATAGCAATAGATCCAAATCTGAAAGCAAAGTTCTTATGAGTGTGACACATGATCACTTCTGCTTGGATGTCCAAGCAATCTGCACCACACACTAATGAGCACACACCAATATTAAGTGGTATTTGGTACAATGGACAATGCTAATAATTCAAACAACTATAGATAAACTTTCAAGGATCTTCACAACATCCCATACAACATGGGAACTGAGCCATCTAGACTACACACTGCCTGTCAATATGAGTGCTCTTCAGCTGTCCATATCCAAGTCTTATACGATGAATGCATCCAAAAGCCGGCTGAACATGCATTTAGTGGACATGTGCCTCCTCTATAAAAGTAGTTATAGTTTCAATGTGCAGTGTGATGCATGTGTCTCTGTATATGTACAGCAGGCCATCCTGCTCAGAAAGTAGTAAATAGCTATGGGTGTTTCCCTCTTGCAGATAGTCATTGAGATACGAAAACATGAGCAAGCAGACACCCAGATGAACAAACAAACAAAGCAGAAGTAGCCTTGACTTCTAAACTTATTTACAATGGTTAATATTATTCAACTTTAAATAAATGCATCATAGCGCACACCAATAACATATCAAACAGCAAAAACACATCCCTGGCTGCATTAACTTAATTTCTCTCAAAACAAACAGCGAGGCAGATTGGTTGTTGTACAAATGACGATGCTCGTAAGAGGCTAAAGACTGCAGTTCTGCTGACACACACACACACACACGACCACTTTAGCCAGAGGAATCTGACCACTTTCTGAGGCTCCTACCAATTTGTAGGTCACAAAGCTCTCTGTGACCACTGGTGTAGAGTGTAAGTCACTACCACTTTCAGGTCAGTCTAGTATCAGGCCACACACATGCACGCAGATCATTAGTCTAATTCTGTACTTTGCTGTTTACTGATCACACTTAAACACATAGATTCCCTACATCTATACTAATTAACAGTTTTAAAACATCTGGCAAAGGCTCATTGGAAGCTTTAGGTTACAACAAGTGCCTTGAATATTGACACCATTTGCCCTGTACACACTGCAGGATTACTGGCTTGCTTATTACATGTGTAGCCTTCTATAGGAGTTTGACTACAATGGAATAGTTAAGGACTTGTCTTATGTCTGGGGATCTGTGGATCACACTACAGACCCCCCCCTCCCCCAGAGGCCTTCAATGAAATTTTTATGTGTGGTGTGTGTATGGGTGTACTTGTGTGGGTTGCAAAAGGGGCTGCGTGTGTGCACCTGGCCCACTGCATTATTAAAGCTCAGACGTTGGCTCGTAGAAAAGGAAGAGAAGAAGGAGAAGAAGAAGAAGAGGGAGCAGCTATTGGATAGTGGAGAAAAAGGGAAAGGAGAAAAATGTGTTTTGACTGGAACATAAGAGAGGGCATGCCCCATTTTTATAGAGGAGGAAACAGTAGGTGGTACAGGGGATCAGAGGAGCAGTCACATCATGATGGAGCGGAAAAGAGGAAACAGTGGTCGTTTCCGACAGCCAGAATGTGGAATTATATTCCCAATAAATCTGAAAGATAGATCCAGCAACCCTTATTCCCTAATTTTTAAAGTCATATGACCTGGTGACAAAGTTTTACACCGTATAGCTGGAAACACACTCTCCTCACTTTTCATTTATGCACTTTCCCCAAGCCTGTCTCACGATGAAACAAAAATGTCTTCCTCCATCACACCATGTGAGGTGACCTCCTGACCTCCCTCCCTGTCATTCCCTCTTACGTTCTAAGATGGGACATCAGTGAGTGCGTGCGCTTACTCCCATGGAGTGAGAAATCTCCCTAATGTACAGGCGCACCTGACATCCTGCCTGAGGCTCCCGACAAAACCCCCCCTTTAAACATGGATGAGTCTGCCCACCATATCTCCCTCTTTTCTTGTCTCTTTCTTTCTCGTCTTTCTCTCTCTCAACTCTGACGCAAAGCTGAGAGCAGCTGCTTCAGTCGGTCTCAATAATTCAATGCCGAAGCGAGGGGATGAGGACTTTGAGGAGCAGCAAAGGATGGGAAGTGAGCATTAGGAGGCAGATGAAGAAAGACATCAGAAGAGGGATGCATAAAGGGGAAAAAATAAAGAATATTGGTTCACAGCACAGTGAAGCGAGAGCGTAAGGTAATGGCGCCTGATGATCTAAACACAAACATAAACAGGAGTCTCACAACTCTGTCCTACTTCAGTACCCCAATCTGTTGACTGGTCCAGCCAGTCAGAGTGTGAGCATTTGCTGGTGTTCAAACCCATCCGCTGTGAGGAATAAAGCCATAAGTATTCACCTATGCAGAGGCTCTTACTTTTATTTGCCAGTAGGTTATTCAGCAGTAGTGTAATAGGAACTACCATTAACACAGCACAGGGCTCTAAAACAAGCACACCTAACAAAGTTAAATGAACGCGTGTATGGAGCTTAGCTGGCTTTGTTAACAGTGACTAATCAGCAAAGGAAGTCCCCTGCAGATAGTGGCTTATATTTCAGAATCGACGCGGAGATGTGTGTTGAATTAACATTTCAGACAAGTTTAAAAACTCTGAAGATGATTGAATTGTTGGTAAGCGTGCGTATCTTCCCGAGCGAACAACAGGCATCGAGACAGTGGCATGCAGACAAAGGGATTGGAGGGCTACAGCTCCCCAAGCTAACGCCACATAAGCTTCTTGACAAAACCAGCCACTGTAAAAAGCCTGTATCTGGGTCTCCTGTGGCGAGCGATGGCGGCAGTTACGAGCACTTTATCCCTAGCATTGGTCCGCACAACTCGGGGTGACTTAAGAAGACCCGTACGGGTGACAAAAGTTATGAGGCGCAGCTCTCCTCGCACGGAGACCATAGCGGTGGCTCTCCCCTGACCGAACACACGCATGGATACAATGTAGCCAGTGCGTTCGGAGACATATGTATGTACCACAGTGAAACAATTCTAGACGTTCATTCACGTTCCTGTGCTACTTTGTGACAAAGCCCCAAACAGCTGTATTCTATTTTTACCTGCTGCTTCAGCGGGGCGACACAAAAGCCAGCTAGCTACAATGCACAGCGTCACTACCAAATGTATTGTTCCTCACTCACATTGGGGCGAGGGGAGAGATGGAACCGAAGTGGGATCCCCATCAATGCCCCCACTCACAGACGTAAGCCCCGAGTGCACATTTACGCAGAAACGCGTGCAGCAACACTCCCTTCGTGTGCAAAATGGGAACTTTAGTCGCTAAAACCGCCACTCTCTCTTTTGCATTAGAAAGAAACAAGAAAGACCAGAGTGAAACTGGCTGTGTGTGGCTAGCTGCTTGGGCTAACTTAGCAGCCATGCCTGTGTAGTTGAGAGGATGGAAGAGGCTCCACGACACGCGAAGTGGCAAAACACAACGATTAAACTATCACAGCATCACTTCTGTGTCTTGCCTGAAAATAAAAAAAATAATAAAATAATGAGCTTGCCCAACATGCGTGCACCCGATGAAGTGACTGAGGCTGCTTCACATCAGTTAGCAAGTTGAGCTACCTAGCACACTCTTCTAGGCTGGATCTCTGTTGTGACAGTGCAATAATTTACTTACTTTTCTCTTGCTTGGCTATCGGAGGGGACCACAGCTCCTTTACCCTTGCCGTACATCTTGGAGGCTGTTCTGATACTTTATTTTATCCCACTCGACACCTGTCAAAGAAAGCTACCAGGAAAACCTACTATCTCCATAGCTACCCAGTTAGTGTTGTCTCCCTATTTCTCCCTTGCGCTCTCTTTGCTCCGGTTTCCTTTTTTTCTACATCCCCAACATTGCCCACAAATCAGGCAGGGTTTCAGCCGGGGGGAACTTGAAACAGTCCACTGGTAGAGCTTTTTTTTTTTTTTTTTTTTCAATCGCTGTTCCTGGATTCAGCTCACGCCCCCCCTGTTGTGAGTCGGTGGGGGCTTCTTAAAGCCACAGTACTTCAGTTTTTGTCGACTTCGCTCAAGTTCTCTTCTGGATGCCTCCAAGTTCAGGCCATTATAGCATTCATGCTCATGTACAGTACCAAACTGTCAAAACTAATTGCTATTACTATTTTGAAACTTTTATTTAACCATGATATTTCTAGCTGTATCCTATTTTTTGTCCTAATGTCACGCCAGAAGGGCCAAAATGCCCACCTGGGTTGGCCTGTGTGCCCCCCAAAGTGCCCCTGTGTCAACTATGAATATTAACCTTTACTCCCCTCACAGACATAGGCTCCTGTGAATAGAAGACAATCTTTCACCCCTGACCCTCAGACAGCACACCGCTGATTGAGGTGGTTATTTTATCCGATTATATAACTGTAAAAAGGAGTCCATCAGTAATTTGATTGTTTGTTTTTTTCATGAAATACTACGCCAATGGTTCCCAAACTGGAGTCCTAGCAGAGGTGCAAAGGGTCCGCAACTAATTGGGGACACATTTTATTTACTTGTAAGCAAAGCTGTTTAAAGCCACCCTGCCTGTATCTAAATGAGGTCTGACAAACATCCTACAAATTATACTTAGGTCTAGTTTACCCTTCAAATTTTCTGCTAGTGTTGTGTTCAACGTTTTAATCAAGACCAATATAATGCAGGATGCTAAAGCTATTGTAAATGGTTATGTAGTGTCCAGATATGCTGTTGGCTCTTAGTAGTAAGTATAAGTCTGTCATGTCACTTTAAGAGTGTGTGGAGGGCAGTTGCAGAGTTTGTGTGTGCACATGTATGTGTATATGTGTATAAGGCAGGGACAGGCAGTGTGTTCTGTTTTCGTGCTACTAGCTGTGGGAAGGGCACAGCTGACTGTCTGTGTGCCTGTGTGCTTGTGCACGCCAGTGTGTGTACATGTAGAGACAAGTGCATGTATTTGTGTGTGTGTGTGTGTGAGAGAGAGAGAGAGGGAAAATACATTTCTGTATGAGTGTGGCAGGGCTTGTTTTTTTTACATGAGAATACAAACGCCTCAAGATGAGCAGAATATAATATAAAAGAATATAGGGAGTAAAAATACAGAGAAAAGGAGCATTATCTTTATAAATTTTCAAGTCATTTAATGTTCACAATATGTATGCACTGAATTGCATTTAAACTCGCAATCAGAGCAAGACAGAAACATGATTTTTCTTGTGAATTGTTTTGTTCCAGTCATAGATACTGTTTGTGGAATTACTTGTAGAATTGCATAAACATGCATACACAGAGAATAATCACCAGCAACTGGTCTGGTTGTGCGTTGGTATCTTTAATCTTAATCTTTTAATTTTGCATGTGTTTCCGACCACATCCACACTAATCTGGCTAAATTTGAAAACAGTGTTTACATGTGAAAACAACTTGTGTCCACACAAGCATTTTCATGTTGTTTAAGTAGCCTAATGATCTCCATCCAAAACAATTAAAATTGTTACATAGTACATTAGTATAAAGTATGAAGAGTATAAAATGGTGATTGAATGCAGCTCATAAAATCTACCTCTTAACCAGTAATTTTCTGCGCCTCTGTGCTATCAATTAAATTACTATTTTATGATTGCAAAGTCATCTGACAAAATATGTACATTCAAAATGAGTAATCACAAAGGATTGGAACAAGCGTATGCCATTATTTTCCAAACGTTCTGTTTTCTCCATCCACTCTAAAATGTGGGGCTAGCATTTTCAGATTTATCCACTCCAGAGACCACTTTCAAACAAGCTACATTTATAGGTGTGAAAATGCTGGCATGGTGTGGACAGAGGGCCAAAACACTGAGATCAGTGCAGATGCATTTTCAAATTTAGCCAGCTTATTGTATAGGTACTCTCAGAGAGAAAGAGAATGAGGTAAAGACAGAAAGTGAAGGTGTAGGTATCTTTTAAGCTCTAGACCACAAACTCTATCACTGTCTCATCATAGCACCAGTATTGATCCAAGAACCCAATGATCCCCGGGAACACTGGCTCTTCCTCTTTTGCACAGAATAAACACAAGCAGCATCACTGTGTGCTTTCTCTTTCTCCCTGTTTCCTCTATTTGATCAAATGCAGATGAGCAGATAAGGGCGTTAGCGTTTTGTCCACATGCTTCATTCCTGTCCATCCATCCTTCCGTTATCTAACCACGCCACCTTCAAACAGTGTAGCTGGCAGTCGTACGTAATTACTGTTTTTGTATGATAACTTAGCTCTTTGTACCATGCAGATAACTAAATGCCAAAAATTCCAACAAAGAACTGAAATATTGCAAAAGGTTTTTACACTTGGCTGAGGTGGAAAGGTTAGTGTATTGATAAAAGCAAAATGTGACAACATGCAGTGGAAACAGACTTAATAAATCTTTACATACATGAAGCATGTGACTTTAACGTCCACTGAAGCTTCCTTTCCATTAACGAGACTAAAAATAGTGGCAGACCAGCCTGGTATCACCAAATGTAGTATGAATAACACACCCATGTCTTCAGTCATTTTGCATGTTATTACAGTGCCTTTTTTGTTTTTCGCGTGTCATTTCACACTATTTAGTCAACTGACTTTTATCGTGCAGAGACGGTGTGTCATTTGACATAGTATAATGACCATCAAAGTCTCTGGTGGAAGTTTATTAAAGTAACTTAGCTTGCGTCACATGACTTCCATAACGTACATAACGTACCAAAACCCTGTAGTTTTGTTACATTAACCAAACCAAACTAAAAATGCGTCAAAATGACACGTGAAATGTCTTGAAAAGTGGCGTGGTATTTTAAGCCATTCCATGATATCAAGTTGAGCAGACAGGAACATCAGATCTGTGTGGGGTGATGAGGAAAGTGTAACCTTCCTCATACATGAAACAAATATAAATTCCATATCCCCATTATGAGTTCTACATCATTTTCCATCGTTTGAAGTCTGACTGGCACTCTTTTAATAACATCATCTCGTTGGGCCGTCTTCTTCTGCAATGGTTTAATGACACCCAAATGAGCAACCGACTGCACCAGCTGTTTATCTGGAAATTCAGTGAAAATTTGCGTTACATTTGGATGGAAACCAGGTTATAGTTTCAGGGTTTTTTCCATAATAGTGAAATCACACGGAAGTAATTAAGAACCAGCCTGATTTTGTGTCAATAATGTATTAGAGGTATATTAACTGACCCTGGCTCTGCCCTAAATAATCCAATCACATTTCTGCTGAGATTCTATGACATCTTGTGATTGACTATATTTCATAACTTCATTTGGTATGGTTTAAATGTCACACAAGTTTGTCAGACATGGCACAAAAATGCCATACCTGTAACCAGTTTGCTTACATCATCTTGAACCACAGCACAGCGCTGAATTTAAATGTACAATTCTTTGCCCAGAAACAAGACAACTCTGGAGTTTTATTTGGTTTATTATTTGGTTTTCGGCACCGGCAACGCTGTCCTCCAAACTTCCATTATGACCCCCCTCTCCATCCCTCTCTTGCTTCTCCCTCTGGTATCTCTCTCCATCTCGCCTCATCACTCTGTTCTTCCTTCTCTTCCACATCGTTGTCCTTTCCTCTGACCCATTTTCCTGCATCTCCCTCTGTTCTTCATTGTGCACCCACATCTTTCTCTCTCTCTTTCTCTCTCTCTGTCCCTTCCTCTTCCTCCCTGTTTCCATTCACCCTCTTCTTGTCTCCTACTTATATTCATGCTTCTCCACTTTCATACTCCGCCTTCTGCTTCTTCATGACTCCTCACCTCTATCCTCCATTTCTTCCTCTACCCTTTCTTCCGAATGGATCTCTATCCTTGCATTCGTACATATATATTCTCTCCATCTTTATCTTCTGCCTTCTCATTCTTCATCACTCCAACTATTCTCTCTTCTCTCTCCTCCTCTACCTCCTTCCTTTTTCCTCTCCCTTGAGCCCATCTCCCTCGTCTTGCTACCTTGCCCCCCCCCATCTTTCCACCATGAGTCATTTTGTGCACTCTGTGCTCCCCTCACTATGCCACAGAGCCACTCAGGACAGACATTCATCAGCGGCTGAGATGATAGATGCTGCTTACCACAGCTCCAGTAGCCAGTTACCCCCGGGTGATGCCTTATGCATTCAGATATCACCTTGCTAGCTGTAGTCTACCACCTAGACCAGGATCCAAAGCACACACAAAGGGAATCAAGTTTACACTCACCTACTGTGCTGCCTGGTGTCTAAGACTATATCTGTATGGAAATAGCAAGATAGGTGTATGTACAATGCATGTATAAGTGTATTTGCATGCAATAGTGTGTATGTACGAGTATGTGTGTGTGTGTGCTGTAGATTGTTAGGTATGCAAATTCCAGGGGAGTTAGGTTAATTGGGTCTGAAAAAGAGGTGGGTGTGTCTCCTGCCTCAATGACAGGCTTATTTACATAGCAAATCTGTAATTACCCTAACGAAGCCCCTATCCTATCAGGGAGAGTACACACACACACACACACACACACACACACACACACACACACACACACACACACACACACACACACACACACACACACACATAAATACACAAAGACACACATGAGCAATCCCCAAACAGGTTTGAGCTCAATCATGCCAAACCTGTATTTTTCATCACTCCAGATCCCTCTCAGAAGCATTCCATTCACATGTTCATTTCTAATTGAATGGCATCCTTTGCAGTGCCAATCAGTCAGTTTGTTGGAATTTCTCTATCAGAGCTCATTGGCTTCTAAGAGAGATATGGGACCCGTTCCAGCACTTAGCAATCACTTCCTTCCTTCTGCCTCTCCGTATTCTTTTGTAAAAAACGTCTTTCCCTTTGTGAGTGAGGGGCGATGGAATAAAAAAGATTTGCTTTGTGTCATATC